GAAACGATTAGAAAAAAGAATTTTTATCAAGTCCCAGGTTTCAGTTTCTGACTTCCAAAAAATTTCCTAATAAGTAATATTTAAGAACAAAATATTAAACAACTTAAGACTTTTATTACATTTTCAAGGAAGCCTTCTTGACTGCTCAAACGGTAGTAGTCCTGACAAAGAGATTTAAAACGATCGACGAAATCTATACAGGAAGATGACTTCGCTGTAAGGTTAGTACAGTCCACACTGGAATCACTGCGAAATAATTTCAGGGATTTAGAAAATTCTTTAATAGCTTTAATTTCAAGAGAAGTGAAAGCCGGGGCTGCAAAACCTGAAAAAAGGTCTTATTTTACGTTTTTATACCAAAACAACCGAAAAATAAGCTACTTCTCCAACTCGAAGTATTGTTTTTTTCAAAAGAAAAACGGGTAGTAGAAAGAATGCTGTCGCTATCAAGTAAATAATAAGATTTTTGATTGGAAGAAAAGCTTTTTTCCGGCATACTAAGTTTTAAAAGATAAGTAATATGAATAAAAATAGCATAAAAGAAAAAAAAATAAGAACTTTTAAGCAAAAGACGTATAGTTTAGACAAAGCCTTAAAGAGTGCTTGTCCTTTTTGCAAACCTGCCAGGCTTCCATTTTGCTTTACTAAGCACAGCAAACGTTATTTAAAACCCTCAAGCAAAAAGTCTAAACTGGTCTCGGGGCTTTTTCATTGTAGTACAGTATTTTGAAACGCAATTTATTCTTATATATTTCAAACTTACTTTAACTACTTTCAAAACTTAGAAAAAAAACACATTTTTTGGCATACGACCAGGAAAGTGGTCTAAAACCTTGACTTTTACCCTTAAGTTCCTAATAGTGTTTTGTTTTTTTAACTTTTGGCGAGCAAGAGTTCGTTTGAATATATACTCGTTAAAAGTCACATAGTCTTTATAAGTTTTAACATGAGTGCACAACTATCATTAAAAAAAAATTATTTCCTGCTTATATACTTATTTAAAAAAAATTTTGTAAAGCATTAAAATTTATTTTGATAGTTTGCGATAATATATACATTAAAAATTTCGATAATTGATTAAAGTTTTTGATGCTGTGGGAGCATTACTACGGATTGTGTCAAAATTTTATTACAGTCAAAGTAAACCTAACTATCAAAACTTTTACAAATTTAAGGGAAATATAATCGGAGGAAAAGACATAACTACTCTCTTGTAATTTACAACACAAACTACTTTATTAGTATACTTTTTTAGAGGACGCAGTTTAAAATATTCGAAACAGGTTTTTATGATATAATTAAAGATCTCGAGGAGTCAAGTTGTACGGCTTTTCCCTAAACATTTACTTTGTTTAGGCCTTTACTAAAATCTTGAATTTACGTAGGCCCATTAATCTCGTTCTTTGTAAAGTTAAAGCCCCTGTATAACGTTAACAAATAACCTTTAAATTACTAGCCAAACTTTTGCTTTACTAGCACTCTTTACGTAAGTTAAAGACAATTAAAAAATAGTCGCGGCAATTTTTTTTTAAAAAAGGTAGCAAAGAGTAATTGTTAAGTAGATGAATCACTTTCCAGGCGATCTACAAAGTAGGTAGCAACGCATAGACCAATGACCAAGGCGGCCACGACGATAACCTGAAAGTTAGAAAAAAATTTGTTTATAAGCAACTTTTATAGAGAAGGTGACAAAATAGTGGAGGTATACTTCTGTTAATGCTAGCAAAGTGTTCTTATTAGTCTCTCGATTCTATTAGAAAATTACTAAGATACTAAAGTTAAGAAGTAGAATAGGCTTAAGACTATGTCGTGGCCGTCAGTTCCCGTATCAAATTTTATAGGGATGCTTGAGATCTCACGGTACGAATCAGGGCCCCCGCCGAGGTGTTCAACCTCCAAACGAAATATGCTCCAAGCAGCGCGCCGGAGGATTTCCAGAGCACCAAAGAGCGGAGTGGTAAACCATTCTTTAGTTATGGGCGTATTAAGCCTAACAAGGGTGTTTACTGAGTACTGACCACATAGGAAAGGGTCTGAAGTAAACGATGACCAAAAGGGATTTAGAGAGGGTAGAAGAGTTAACGTCCACACAAAGCGCAAAACGAAATCAAAAAAGATGGCGGTGTAGTAGACCTGAGAGATATACGACTACCCTCAACTTTATACGGGGAGAATTCTATAATGCAGAACCCGAGTCTCGGAAAACAGTCTCAATTCGCGAAGGTAAGGCGGGCGCGAGTTAGTATATCCCAAGTCCCAGTCCATGCAAACGTCCCACCCGAAGGCGTAGAAGGTGCTGCACACAAAGACGATCAACCTGGAAGCAAAACAGAAAAGTAGGAATACAGCTCCATGGTGAAATAAGATGTAAAGAAGAAAGTTCTTCCCAAATTATGCGAAAGGTGCCCCACTTGCTGGTGGCTTCTAGGTAGTGGGGATGAAATATTCCTAAGGAGGGAAAAGCATTTTGAGGCATATTAAACAGGCCAATAACGTGAAGCGACCGAGAAGCACTACCACCAGCGAAAGAGAGTATTTTAAAGAATTGAGCAGACTGGGCACCTTTTTATTCTGAGTAACTAAGTTAGCCTTGCAACTTGCAGATATTTTTAAAATGGATCAAGTAAACTATTCGTCACACCGACAACTTTAGGTAAAATAAGAGGCGTACAGTGTCGTAGTACTGACGCAGGCATTGCACGAACCTGAACCACAAAGGCAGCCCCGCCACTAGGCCTGTTAGCCAGGGTGGGATATCGCACCTCCTGCGTAGTGGAATATTTATCTTAATATTAGCTTTAATTAAACCCGTTCCAGGTCGAGGGTTACCCTTCGAAAAATCCGGCACCAAAAAGGCAGAAGACTGACAGCAACGACGTGAAGACTTTAGCCAGACTCGTCAGGATATCAGCTACAAAAAAATCCACAAACCGAATCCTCCCAAACTTGTTAAGAGGAATCAAGTAAACATCATTTTTTTGAAGAGCACAAAGACTTAACCGGTGAAATGACGACGTTGAAAAGGATTTTTATTATAAATAACCGCGATAAGTAAAAGTCTCGTTTAAGAGGATTAACAAATTTCAACAACATGTAGAGTAAAACCAACAACGGGTAGTATCGCGCTGAACCATTAAAAAAAAATTAAGTGTTGCATATTTAAAAAGGGGTAACGATACAGCGAGGTTTAAAATTTTTTCCGTTGTCCAATAAAAATAAAAGCAGACTTAACGATGTAACAAGGGAGAGTTTCGTCGCCTGTTTTGCACGGAAGTTCAAGATTCATAGAAACTGAGAAAAAAGAGGATGAAAGAAAACCTCGATATAATAATTATGATACGCCATCCGATTTTTAGGGTCAAGTTCGAAGATGTAGCAGTAATTTATACGATTCTACAGCGCGTGAAACACAGTTAACGCGCCCGGTGTCTGCCACCGAGCGAACCTTGGACCAGATCATCGCTGTCCAGCCAACCGTCCATAGCAGGAGGCACAACAGCCCGGCGGGATAGTAGCAACGAAGGGTGGCTGCCAGGGGAATTGTTATCAAGACAGGCAGTGCACCATTGCTGGAGTAAAACCTAATAATAACTTCTCCTCGGGGAGAGTTAAAGTTTCTAAACACTTAATAAATCCCAGAGTCGCCCAGAGAATTAGTGAGCACAGAAGCATTATAGCCATCCCAAAATAAAAAGATTTTCTAAATGTAGGAAGCTGAACGAAAGAGCCTAAAAAAAATAATTATAGGGCTAAAAACTTGTCGAGTTTAAACTCCCCCCGTTTTTTAAGAAGTTGTCGACGTGCTTTTAGCTTGTCTCCATTTTCAAAAATGGTAGAGAATATCTTTTTTCGTAAATATTTAAATTTAAAGTGCATAGTAAATTTGAAAATCAAGACCTCCTCCACTTTTCCAAGGAGTTCCTTTAAATTGGAAGTGTCCGCAAAGACTGCTCCTAATATATACTTACGTGGTTATTAGTGTATACAGAAAGGCAACACTTTTCAAAAAAAAATAACGTTGTTCATAAAAATCTTTTTTAATTTAAGTTTGCTCTGTTTATCATGTTTCTTCAATATTTTGTTGAATCCGGTGTAATTTAAAAAGGAGTACCCCTCTAATCTAAGTTGTAGTTAACTTTTTACTCAAGGAAAGATAAAGACCATGTACAGGTTAATACGACGAAATAACTCCACAAAAGACTGCTTGATGTGATAAAGACCTTTTTCATCCTATAAAATAGACATTAAAGGAATGGCCGTGAGCACTAGAAGCAACATAACCCCTTGAGTAGTTAGGGTATCTGCTTTCTCTTTCAGAATTTCGAGAGTTTCAGAATAATAATTAACTTTTTCAGAGTAAAATTTTTCAATTTTTAATAGTTCCTTTCTAATGTTGGAAAAACTTGCCATGAAAAATCATTAGTAAACAGAGAAATAAAAAATCCCTTAAGAGTCCAATAAACTTGTTTTCGGCACTATATTCATCTGCTTCATCTTCCTCTTGCAAGTGAGCAATCTCACTTTTTTTAGCAAATAACAATGGAACCTTATCCTAGCCTCCAACAACTTTAAATAGAAAAATTTAAAAATATTAAAAATTATCTTGCCCTAAAAAAGGATTCACTTTCTGCAAAAATTTCTCGCAGAAGTTTTTTTTGGAAAAATCGCTGAACTGCACTATGGTTAACGAAAGCTATATAACATAAACTTAAGAGCAAAGGAAAAAAAGACTTCTGTTGTGCTTGTTTAGTTTCATAAAAAGAGTAATAAACTTTATTCTTTTTGAGTTCTTTTCGAAGTAACTTATAATCCAAGTAATACTCACGCCATTCCGTAACAGCCTCGAATTCAAGTTGACGACCAAACTTGACCATTCAAAGCGTAAAAAAAGAACTTAAACTAAACTTGTACCAGCTTTTAGATAGGCCATGCAGCAGATATTAGATCTTACCCCGTTTTACTAACGTGCATATTATTGGAAGGCGACTTATGCCAAACATAACGATAACAAAATTCATTTGTTAATAGAAGATTCAAAACAAATAAAAAATTTAGGTAATCGATTTTGTATCTGGAGCTTACTATTATTTTGGTAGAAATGCTATTAGGCTATACTCAAAGCAGAGCAAACTGAAACAATGCAGTTTTATCGAAGTTATAGCCTCAAACAGTATAGGGAATAAAATCTAATAATCTCTTCTATGGATCTACACATATTCAGGAGAACTTAATCAAAAAACATGCAGTATTTATTTAAATCTAATTTTAATAAACAGTGAGCTATTAGAGTACAAGCAATAATAATTTGGGGGTTCTAGTTCTCTTCTTCTTTTTCTTTCGATAGTTTATTTCTTTTTATAATTATTATCATTTTAACCTTATTTCTTCCTTTATTAACTTTGTTATTCACTTAATATTCATTTTTTTTTATTGGTGTCTTATTTCTTTTAAATGATTTTTAATGTGTCACCTAATAAATTTATAAGAGAATTTTTTATAGTAATTCAATTTGGTCGAATTATTTTTTATAATTAAAGCTTACTTTGAACTAAATTATAAGGAATTTTTAAAAATCTCTTGCGCTCTAGCCTGCTGCCGAATAATAGTGATTATATTTTTTTTCTCGCGTACCATGATGTAACGTATCATTGGGTAACATTTATTTTATGAAGATGTCAGGGCTATTATAAATACATAAAGAGAAATATATTACTTAAAATTTAAGTAAACAAAAGCGGCTAAAATTATAAAATAAAGCATTGTTGCTACAATATGCATTTTTTTTATCTACAGGAAAGGATAGCTAAAAAAAAATTTATTACACTTTGTAGTATGCTTTCCAGAGATATGCGCATATTCGTAGTCCGCCAAAAATCTTAATTATTCAGTTTATATGAAAATAATAAGCACCGTCGAAAGAAAGTGATTACACTCTTAAGTGAAATTTTATTAATGGGCTTAAAGGACGGTAAATCCCTACTCAATACTGCTGTAAGTAGTTAATATGATAACACGGGAGCTGTATCAAAATGTTCGGACTTTGCGTAATTACTAAAATGACACTATCGTAGGTAATAACTGTACACAGCGTGTATATGTATACCCAAGGTACATTAAACGTGTATAATTTATTAGGGAATATATAGGATATACGCAGCCAATGGCTGCTCCCTTCTTAGACCAGAAAACGTTGTGCTTAGGGAAACTCAATTGGTTATAAATCTCGCCAATAGTATGCCTGTGCTATAAATATTAATAATAAATTAAGGGGTTTCGGCATTAATTTCCCTTACTTGTTCGCTTTTTTTTTTTTGTCTTCCTTACATTCTAAATAGGTGGAACGATTCCTGAACAGATTAGCTGTTCAACTATTATATATTATACTAATGGATAACTCATTCCTAAAATTTTTATTACACAAGTTTTTACCTACTACTTTGTATTAAGGCGTTGTCACGACTATATTTTCTTTCTACCAATCTTTGCTTTTATATTAAGTGAAATGCTTAGTAGTAAAAGACGTCGTTTGAAGATTGTCTACTTTGAAAACAAAGTCTACTAATTATTTTACTCATTAAAAAAATTCATAGCTAAATTGTAACAGGTTAAGAACCTAACTTTATCATCCCGGGATAGAGAGTCGCTTAAATTTTAACAAAATCTATGACGAAATGGCCAACTATTTTATTAGCAATTCAAGGAGCCTTTAAAACATGTAAAGAGCAGAATTTGTATGCCAAAAAAAGTTATTAGGTTTTCTGTGCAGTTTGGGTTCTGTAAAGCCTAAGAAAAAGAGATAAAAGGGAGGTGAAATATAAAATAGTTCGAACGAGCGCCGGAAAATCTTTCATAACTCCACTCGCCCTTATCTTTTTTCACGAGTGCAAGTTGAAGTAACACTCCGCATATCAATATCCTATCCTTCATATATCATAGCTTTAGACGCTTTAACTAAACTCAAGACAGTTCAATGACATAGCTCTGTTAAATCTATTACGCGATAAAGTTTTTCTCCCTCTATCTTACCCCTTGATCGCGCTAGCGAGTTATTAACTCATTTATTTATGTATAAAAGGCGACTTGCTTGCAAAAATGTCCCGTCGAATTTATTTATTAATTGCGTCCGCAAGCATAGTTAAGATTGGATAATAATTGCGTTTTTAATGCCCCTTTCAATTGTATCTTAGATGAAATAATACTAAATATTCACGTGCTTTGAGATTAAGGTTTGCAAATAGAACTAGAGTGACCATCCATAGTAAAGATGATTCTGGAGTCAGGATTCACATGTTTTAACCTAAAGCACATGCTCAAAAACATTACTGATGTAATAAATTCTGGTTTTTTATTTTTTAAATGTGACACTAAAGGTTGTTTTTTAGATCCCAAACGACCGGACAACTGTTTTTTTTTGAACATACCAGATCGAAATTTGCCCTCAGGTTCAGTCCCATATCAGTGTGGGCGAATAGTTTCTGCCGTTTTTGGAAGGGCGTAAAATCTGTTGCTCTCCCCAGGGCATACTCGCGTACACTTTTTATGCTGCCTGGTCGGGTACAGTTCGCTTTATATAGAAAGAATCATCCAATCTCTTAGTAAGGGATAACTAATTCCTCCCTCCAATAGTTGAAAAGAAGCAATATTTTGGGGTATCAGCCAATATTTCTAAATAGTGGGCTTACCACTTGGTCCGAAAGGCTAAAATTTACTTCTCCTCCGTTTTACCAAAACAGCAGGCATAGCGATTATTATCTCTAAGTATAACGTTTTATAGCCTTTAAACCTAATTTGAGCAAGCATATGGGGATTTCTGTTTTAAGGTCTTTTTCGCATCCAGAAATTGCACGTTATTACTCCAGTTTGGGTCAAATCGCTAAAGTGGTGGTGACCACGTGAAAATACCATACCGTGCTCACCCATTTGTTATTTCCTGCTCTCACACGCCGTAGTTTCCACAGTATTTAACTATGCCTTTTTAAGAAACATACGTAGAGAAAAATGAAAGGGGGACACCAAATTACTCCGAACTAGTACCAGAGGTTTAATTCTCTCCGGTGAGCACACCTTTTACAATATAAATATAACTCAGTGGATCTAAGATTTTTAAAGTATGTACACCAAACTTAATTCCTGAATTGAAAGAAGAGAATTAAGGAAGTACGCCTACCTCCCTACAGTAACTTCCAACTTGGTGGTAATTAATACAAGCATTTTTATTGGAACGCTACGAGCGCACCCCCAACACCTTAAAAAATCGAATATGGAAATGCGACTGCAAACTGAATTACTAATACAAAAAAAGTAAATTACTTAATTGTCTAGGGACCAAATTATGGATAATGCTTTTTAAATAGTGTTGATAGTAAGTATCTAGAGGGCGGAAAGAGTGGGGAATTGAGGTGGGAGGGGAGTAAAAGTATTTGTGAATATACAATTTATTATAATGATTGGTTATGAGCGGTCTATAAAGTGTCTTTTTAAAAACTAGAAGGGTTTTTTCAGCGAGCATTTCTTTAATTAAACGAGGTTATATAGAATTTTTCTAAGAACATTTTTGAAATAATAATAGCGTCAGACTATGTCTTAACAACTTCCTCGCGTTAACCTATAGCGACATGAATTGCAAGATGACTGTCAAAATAAACGTTCAAGGGCAAGCAGACTTCTTTATTTACAAGCAATAGGGCACCCACTTACCTTGATCAGCAGCAGAACAGTGCGGTTCTATTTCCATAGTCTTCAAGACTAGCTATAATTTTTTACTTTCTGCCTTTAAGCTTAAGATTTTTATTTCCCCTTAAAACTCAAAACTTGTCTCGCAAAAATCCATTGTTAACCATAAGCCGTTAGCCATGGATCTAGTTTTTCATTTAAAGCGTTAAGTGGGCATGCTTCCGTTTAAAAATAAAGAAGTGAGCCGCTTAACGCCTTGTGATACCAATAGAAAATACTTTTATATTGTTTTTTATAATTTATAGGTAATGGGGACGATGAGATTTTAATTTTTTAGCATTTTATAGTTTAGCAGTCCTCCAATATACTATCAACCATAGGGAGTTTAACAAAAGATATATAGTCATCAGTCTCTGTAGTATTTGAAGCTAATATACCTATTATTCGTCGCTATACATGACCCTTGAAGGGTTGTTGGTTAGAACCCTCCAGTGATCCATTAATCGGGTATACTTAAATGATGATAAAAAATAAGCAAAATTTAACGTATAATATTACTAAACCAGTTTTTAAAATCTTTTGTCAGAAGTGTAAACCATTGTAAGCTCGTTTGTTTAATTTTATTGTTTTATATGGAAGCTTTGCTCAGATGCTTGTTCGTAATAAACGAAAATTAAATGGAGTATTATGTAACATTAGAACATATTTTTTCTTCATTAAGTATGCAGAAATTTGATATAACAAGTTTTTAATAATAAAAATTTTTATATTGAACTTTTCAATCAACAACTATCAGTAATAAGCTTTATTATACGTTTTATAAGTCCCCCTTTCATTTCATAATTTTTTTTGCTTTCAAGCAGAAAAGTATGAATTAGTTAATGCTCCCAAACTAATTTTACTACATTTTAATAATCACAGCTATTGTAGATATACCGCCAAGTATCTTTTTCGCTTTATATAAATATGACTTGTATTATAGAGTTAAAAAAAGGTGTTAGGGCTAAGCGTAAAAAATTATTTACCATTAAAAAAAATATATTTAATGTTTATTAAACTATCCTTGTATACTACTACTCACCAGAAAGTCCCAGTCCGTACACAAAGGTTAACGGCCTAGGCATAGAAAAGAGGGAGAAATATAAAAACCCGCGTCATTTTTGTAACCTTTA